TATCGATATCAACAAGGAAATCGGCATATATAAATAAACACTTTAAAGTTACATCGTAGTACAAATCTCGATTTAATGAAAAATGCCTAAATCAGAAGAATATTTTACCTTGTGCCCCGTTAATAATTATAATAAAAATAATACAACAAATGCAGCATTTGCGCCGTGTATGAAACATAAGTTTTTTGAAATAATTTCTATATTATTCGTAGTTTCTATAAATCTTTGAAGTTATTGAAATGAAAAATATTTTTTAGGCAAAACAGATGTTACAGCTGTTCAAAGAATGAGATTATATCGCCAGCGAAAAAGTAAAAAAATACCATCAGTCAATGAATGTATGTTTATTTTAATTACATGAAGTTCTTCAAACACAATTATTATATGATGAGCAGAGTTGCGAAAACAATATTTGTTTAGGCGTTGTTTAACATAATTCACTGTGTGAACGAATATTATAGAATATATTAATGAGCAATTACTTCATTTCTCTAATGAAGGTTCATTTCTAAATACTAATTACAATGACAAACCGATTATGTCATATTTGAAGAATGACTTTAATTATATTATTGTTTTTAATTTTTATACATATTTTTAATGCTATTATAAATATATAATTTATAATTTATCATTATATGTGTATAATAGTTGACACTAATAAATGTGTGCATCATGAGTGTTACCATATTACTAATAAACATTATTCAAAATTGTTATATGATGTATTAATTTTTACTTAAATGCCATCTTGTACAGCACCAAATAAGTTTTAGTTCAATCGCGTATGAACCTTACGCACACTCTTTTTCTACATATTTTCAAGTTTCGAATGTTTCCGAACATTTTGGCATACCTTAGAAAAATAATGGATGTGTGTCTATGTATGTATGTGTGAAAACAATTTTTCGTCCACAATTTTGAGTGCACGGATCAACCGATTTGAATAATTCAAAAAACATTCAATTCCTACTGATGGGGAGACGCGGTAATTAGTTTTTGGCAAAGACAGTTTCAGCCGTTTCGGTGATGCGGAGCAAAGAGTGCAGAAAATGGCAGTTTTTAAGAGAACGAAGCATCCGGTTTGAATGATTCAAAAAACCTTATGTTTGTGTCGACAGTGTAAAAAAAACGATTAGTTTTTGGAAAAGACAATTTTGTTTTAAATTTTCTAATAATGCTTTTTTGAATATCGAAAATAATTCGGATTTTAATTTCATTTTATCATAATTTTCAGTTTTTTAATTTTTTCCGGTTATCATGTCTACGTATACAACTTTATGTTATTTATCATTAAATTTTCAGAGTCAGTTCAATAATCGAACATGTGACCTAACTTCATTTATGCATAAATAATCAAGATAATATATTTACTATACATAATGTAGGAAAGTAGTGAAAAGGGTAATTTTAATTATTAATTTAAAATTGAATCTCAGTTTTTGTACAATTTTTTTAGTTGAATTACCAGTACGTTGAATTAACATGAAACATATAATTTAATATTAAATTTTAGAAATTATATCGCCTATGGGAAATAACAGAACAAGTCTATTTTTAGTTCAGACGGTGAAGCAGAAATAGTAAATAATGATATAAAACTTTATTGAGTGATTAGTCAGCCATATTAAATAAATTGTAATAATGAAATAATCAAATACAGATAGATCAACCGTTAAGTTACCATCTAAAAATACAACACATGGTTTGAGTTAGAGAACAACAGCTTATAGAACGCAAGGTTCTGATTGCTGGTAAAATACGAAAGCAAATCACTTTCGGGTATTTGGAATGTGTTTTATAAACAACCTATATGTAATACCATAGTTTAGTTCATATTGCCAAAATAAGAGCAATCTGCATTGATATGGATTTTACGGAATATTTTTTCTATACAAATTATGTTTAATACCAAAGTCTAGTTCGATTGTCAAAATACAAAAACTTATTAAATTAGATATTACTACTATTCAGCGAGAATTTATCAATTCACATTCTGCTGGTTGGTAGTTGTATAAATTGTATTGGTGTATTTGGAATGTACTTTGTAAACAAATTGTATGTAATGCCAAAGTTAAGTTTAATCGTTGTGAAAAACCTTATATAAATATTACTATCAGGCTAGTATATATCAGTACTGCAGTTTGATGGATATATGAGTCGCATTGGGTTGTTTGAAATGCAGTTTTATTTTTCTAATGCCATGGATCGTAAAGTATCAGTCCACGAGGCTATAAACAGTTGATACTGCTAAGTTTCACTGGTTTGATGCATGGAATCATCATTTTATCAGCATTGACCTTTCAGAAACATCACATTTATTTGCAAAGCATCTCGTAACTCTGCGCAGTCAACGTCTCTTCTCCATATATATAGAATGAACTAATCGGTAATTAATTGTTGGCATGAATATTTATCTTTGTAATTTGCTCACATTGATTATTGAATCTGAATATGACCATCAGACTGAATTAATTTAAATAAATCTTAATCAAATCGTTGTCACATAAGCTTTGCTATATGACATAAGTAATGTATATAGTATCGAAAAAAAATATTCAAATTTTATGATGTATAAATTCAAACTTCTCTCTAGTTCTTAAATATCATGCATACTTAATATTACCTTTGTCATCATACGTACGTACCCACCACTTACTCCTACCCATCATATATATGAAGAAATTATTGTAATTTAACTTGGAATGTGAAAAAATAATTTACTAATGCGTATATCAGATCTAACATGTGCAACTAGCCAATAGAAATTACGCAAAGGGTATAACTTTTTAAATTGAATCATCTTTAAATGATTTTTTTAGACTCTATAATTTTAGGTGTAAAAATGTTATATTACAACGCACGTAGTTATAAGATAATTATCAAAGTTAAATAGAATAAAACAATTAGAATAAAACATTTTAATTATAAATTTGTTAAGTCAAAAATAATTAAAAATATTACTAACGATGAAATTCGGAGCTTTTTTGTATAAATGTGAAGTGAAACCAGTTCAAACTATTTTAAGATTATTCAAACATAATTTTAAGTCTATGTCTAATCATTGTTACATATTCTATTAACATGCCTCAACTTTCAAAAACTATGAATGTGGATTTGAAGTAGACGAATATTAGATGAACCTGGTGCATGGTCTCATCGCAGAAAAAATTTAGAAAAACCAAAAGGTGTATAAATGTCTAAAAGGAAAGAAGTAAATACCATGAATACTTAATTCACAGAACATAAAACAAATAATGAAAAAAATAGAAAGTAGTCAAACGCGAACAATTAATGTGGAGGCTAAAAATGATGCATACATGAGTCTACCTTCGAACAGAGGACCAATAATAAAATAACCTACATACTCTACAACTATATCTAATATCAAGAAAATACTGTAATATCTAAATGTAAATCAGAGAAGAAAGCAATATAGTTATGTTCATTAAGTTGCACTTGAAGTTTATTATGAACCGATAACACAATTCCAAACAGAACATTCGTTTGCAGACAAGTGATGCAGAGTAAAATCGGTTATGACCCCGTTCTACAGCCATAATTTATTAAATACGAGTTGTACACGGACTATTAAGTTTTCATCAACTATAAACCATATCAAATTGCACGAACAAAGCATAGGATTCATCATATCATCAAAATACAGTAATATCATACTGTTTATTTTAGTTTGAAATTATAGATATGAATAATATAATGAAAATTCTGTAAATATTAATACTTTTGATGTAATGGGAAATTCTAGATATATAATATTCAAAAATGTTTTTACAGTGCGCCTTGAATAAATAATTTCATTTTAGAACTAGCTGTAAGTGGAATTCTGTCTTAAGGCAATTAGGGCATCGTGCCTTAAGGCAAATTGCTGGAACTTCCCGTACCAAAAATTATTATTTTTTTAAAAACGATTAACATTTTTGAAAAAATTCTACTTCGAAAAAAATAGATTTTTGAGAAACTATAAAATTGACAAAAAATTACTTTTTTTTTTGAAAAAAAAATAATTTTTTATTTAAATAAAAAAAATTTTGAGAAAAAAATTTTTTTTTTGAATACAAAAAAATTTTTTAAAACATATTTTGAAAATTTTGAACTTTTTTTCAAAGCAATCGCACTGCTTGAACTGCATAGAGACGAAATGTCAAAGCTCGCAAGTGCCGCGCCGCCGTCTAACGCATAAGCATTGGTACGGAACCCATAGAAATGTAAAAAAAAATTATACTTGTTGTTAAAATCTCTATAAAATATCTGATAATTTGATGTGCATATGTCTAATGATCATTTTTAACCGCCCAATGGCATTTTTTTTTTACTTTTTTCATTAAATCTCCGAAACCGCTAGACCTGGCTTCATGAAAATTTGATCAATTCTACATCTTGTCAATACAAATAAAATGTTTTTTGAATTATTCAAATCGGACGCTCCGTTCTCTTAAAAACGGAGGTACCGTTTTTGGCACTTTTTGCCCCGTATCTTTGGAACGGCTAGACCTGCCTTCGCCAAAAACTAATCAGCACGTTTTTTTATCAATACGAATCGAATGTTTTTTGAATTATTCAAATCGGTTGATCCGTGTTACCGAAATCGTCGACGAAAATTTGTATCCGCACATACATACACACACGTACATACATGCATACATACATACATACATACATACATACATACATACATACATACATACACACACACACACACATACATCCATTTTTTCTAAGGTATGCCAAAATGTTCAGAAACCTCTGAAACGTAAAGATATATAAAAAAATTCATTTTCGATTTTTTTGCGATTACTATAACTTGCCCTACGGGAAGTTAAAAATAAATTTGAAAACTATGAAGATAAACTTAAGATTTAAAATTATACAGAATCTTTCTAAGCAAGCACTAATAATTGCATAAAAACATAATTAATTATAATAGTATAAAATTAAGAAAATATGTCTAATACAAAGCACTTTGATTGGAAAAATGTTACCTTATGAATAGCGTTCATTTTCCTTTTTCCGCAACCCGAGAACTTCATCTGAAACGAGAAATAAAATGTATAATAAAAAATTATTACTGATTGGTAGCTATACACACATACGCACATACATAATATGATAACATTTTTTTTTTTAATTTTTAACTTCCCTAGGGTAAGTTATAGTAATTGGCCAAAAATCGAAAATGAAAATTTTTGCATATCTTCACGTTTCAGAGGTTCTGGCATACCTCAGGATAAATTGATGCGTGTGTGTATGGATGAACCGATTTGAATAGTTCCCATTGATATTGATAGGGAGATGTGCTGATTAGTTTTTGGTAAAGGCGGGTCTACCCGTTCCGAAGATACAAAACAAAAAGTGCCAAAAATGAGTGCCAGTTTTTGAGAGAACTAAGCATCCGATTTGAATGATTAGAAAAACTTTCTGCTTGTATTGACGAAACGATTATTTATTTTTTTATTTTTATTTTTATTATATATTATATAAGCTATAAGTTCATTGATTGATATTTATTTAAAATTGTTAGTGCATATTGCATTTTTGAATTATTTAATTTGCTCACAAAAAAAACAAATATATTTTCACTAATTATTAACAAATTTCAGAGCAAAATTAATTAAATTGACATAAAAACAATATATATTTCGTAGTAGTTACGTTAAGTAATTTTTATCTAAATGGCCCACTAATAATTGTAAGCATCCTCCTTTAAGAAAATTTAATCTAATCGAAATAACGCTTTGATCGAAAACACAGGTTTAATACTGGCGCGCATATTAAAACGTATAGCCCATAATCCGTCACGCTGACAAGATTTCTATGAATGCATCAAACAAGAAACAACAACACGATAATCCTCGTTTACCTTTGAAGTTCTAACCCCCCATATTTAGCGATAATACACCCTGCGCGAGGAAACTTATGTCTAATCAAATGATGAACAATAACACCCTCGAATCCAACTCTGCCTATACAAGATGGCTACCGCCACCGCCACCGCTACCCGCGGAGTCCGCCAGTCACAGCCAACCCCCCCCCGTGGGGCCAAAATTTCGGGTTTGGGGTCTGGGGTTAGTCACACATGAGTTCATTCGCTGTGTCGCGGAAAAGGGACGCGCGCCGCCGTGATAAATGCAAGGGATGTTTATGTATTGGGTATAATTTATCTTTAGATCAAAAGATTGTAGCTTGTCAGTTTTGTACATTAAGGGTTAAAACTGTGAGGTTTCTTTTATTACCCGGATTTATAGCCGACACTTTAGGTAAAATACAAAAAGAATTGATCTGGTCTTTTTATTGTGTGCCGTATCTCTTTGTGGAATATAAAGATGTGTTTATTCGAAGCCGCTCGTAAAATTTTGTACGCATCGAAAAGAATAGGTTTACAAAAAACAGCAAACCTTAGAGGGAAAAAGCTCTATAATTGAGAAGTGATTATGTTGTCAACAAATGACAAATCTTTCTACAGATTTTCAAGAGCAAGATTAAAAAAGAATGGTCAATTTTCAAAATTTCTGGCAATGATCAGAAGATTTTTTATTTAGAATGCCTTTTTTCCTGCAGTTTTACTTGTTCATTTCAAATCAGGTGTACTATAAACGTGTGTCAATTTTTGAAAGATGAGTCTTGAGCTCCCTTCTTGGGTGCAATTACTGCCATTTATTAACATTCCGTAGGGCAAGTTATAGTAATGCGCAAAAAATCGAAAATGAAAATTTTTGCATATCTTCACGATTCAGAGGTTTCTGGACATTTTGGCATGCCTCAGAAAAATGGATGTGTGTATAGTGTGTGTATGTGTGGAGACAATATTTCGTCGACGATTTCGGGCGTACCGATGAACCGATTTGAATGATCCAAAAATCATTAGATTCGTAATGATGGTGATTAGAATTTGGCAAAGGCAGGTTCAGCCGTTTCGGAGATACAGAGCTAAATATGCAAAAAATAGCAGTTTTTGAGAGAACTAAGCATGCGATCTGAATGATTTAAAAAACTTTCTGCTTGTGTTGATGAAACCATTGCTTTTGGTAGAAAAAAAATATTTATTCTTCTTAATTTCCAAAAAAATTTAAAAATAAACTTATGATGGTTATTGTCGCCTGCAATATACTACTTCCCCATATACCCTAACTTATAACTTTTAATTTTGGGTAAGTAGTGTACGAGGTACTATGCTTATTGGGTAGCAACAAGATATTTTGACAACTCAATGTCGTGCAACAGTGGCATCGATTCAAACTTTAACGTACTGATCGCAAATATGCTTCCAATTGAATTAGCAATGATGAAACTATTACATTAAACTTCACTCTATCGAATTCTAGTTTAACTCACAAGCATCAAGAACCTGTTACAAGGTAGAAAACCTTACTAGTATATATATATATATATATATATATATCCCAAGACACGAGGTGTCTCAAAATTCAACGTCAAGCGAAATTAGGGTGATTTATGTGAAAAATTTAAACCAATTTTAAAATTTTTAATAAATTCATATTTTATAAAAAGTCTTAATTCTTGAAAACTTGGTGTAAGATTATTTTTTACCGTGGTCCTAGAAATGTTATTCACAGTTACGGTTACAATGTTAAAAAAGAAAGAAAGCTCATAATTTCCAAACAACTTGAGATTTGTGTCTATTTTTTTTTGTCAAGACAGTTAATAATAAGGTCAATATTATCATTGTCGTTTCCTCTCATGCAGGGAATAATATTAAGTAAAAAAGAGTATTGTAAAGATTTGAAAACACCTTTATTATTCCAAACATCTTTACATACATTTCTACGTACATAAGCTGATCACTCAATTAATAAACAAAGAAATAAACAAATACTATTATTGTAAAACCATTGTAAAACTGTTGTCAAAAAGTTTGGAATAATACAGATATTTTTAAATCTTTTCAACCTTTTCTTTGCTTGATGTAATGCCTTTTAGAAATTATATATATATATATATATATATATATAAATATATACACGTTTATGTTTCGTATCTGTATGCATTAATTTATATAATGATAACCTATTAATTATTCCGTTGTTAATTGCGTAATAATTCATTAAAACAAACGTCCCGAAATCATTCCAACACAATAAACATTCAATAATTTCGCACTCGATAACGCTTTCAATACGTCGAGAGGCAATTATTCAGTTGAATCCGATACGATGTGAGGTATATATAGTGGTGTTGTCGCAATGCTCTAATAATCATTATTAACTATATGGGCTTAATTAGTGATTTTTTCACGGGTCGTATCGATGGCCACGCAGCGCGTGAAACCCATTATGCGCGATTACATGATTGTGTCGCTGCCCCCGGACGGCAGATGCAAAAGCGGCTCGCTTGTAAATCATGCTGACAATGGGCACCCGATCCGGGTTATTCGATTGCTCCTTTCGGGACTCTGCCACTGTATTAATTTGTACGATATTACCGGCTCCAATATTCATTGTTGTCGATCGAACATTTATCGTTGTGGCGAGCATAGCTCTTTGGTAGAGTGTTCGATTCACACGACAGGGATCCTCGGATCAAATCCTGTCAATGACTTAGAATTTGTGATAACAAAATCTGTGTAGTTAATTTGAAATCAAATAAAAATTGTATTTGTTAAATAGAAATTGAATAAAAATTAAGAAAAATAGGTATAACAGAATTCGAACAGTTGAATTGAATTAGGAGTAAGAAGAGAAGTATTGGAGCTTGAAAGAAGAATAAAGAATTGAAGAAAATAAGAAGAAAAATTAAGAAGAATTTAGACTAGGATACATAAATAGATTGAAATTGATATAAAAAATTAGAATGTAAATAAATAAAAAATGTTGTAGGTGGCTAAATGCTCAGAGTAAGCGAGGCCAAATAAATAATTTAAAAAAAAAAAAAAAAAAAAAAAACATTTATCGTTAACAAAGACAATTGGTGTTTCCAAAAATAATACGATTTAATTCAAACATTGAATTGAGTAAGAAGAGTTCCTTAGAAGAAAATGAAAAGGCTGAAAGGAACATACAAAATTCAACTTATTTTCCATTTAAATAATCTAATAGTATAGAAAAACAATAAGGTAAATTAATAATTTTTTCAGGCTGTAAAGTAACGGAAATTTACTTTTTAAAAATAAAGTCCTCGGCGTCTTCAGATATAAGTATCCCATCATATATAAGCATATACATATTAATTACGCTGGGCTAAACTTTTTGGACATTGGTGTAATTTGCAAATTTATACCATTGTGTGTTTTAAGGGGCACAACTAGTGTGAAATTTAAAAAAAAATCGAATTTTCAATTTTACCATATTTCTATAGGTTATACCTTTAAAAATAACATACCAAAATTTTAAATCGATATCTCAAATAGTTTTTGAGTTACAGCCATTTAAAGAGTATAAATATAGTATGTAGTATAACCGATCATTTAATCTTTAAACGCGTTTTTCTCGAAACAGCATTTTCCGAATTTGCTGCAGCAATTACTCAAAAACAAATGATCCGATCACTATCATTTTTTTTACATGTTCTATATATAGTTCTTCGTAAAATGAACTATCGATTTTTTGATCGGATTAAAAATTGAATTTTGACAGTCCAAAAACGACCAAAATTTCGGGTAAAATTCGACTTTTTTTTAAAAAAAACGCCGTCATTTTGTCAATTTTTGATTTTTTTTCTTTGTCGTAGTTCATTTTACAGACAATATTATCTAGCTTAACAAGATTTTTTTTTTAAATTTCATCCACGTAGAAGGCCGGAATCACTGCAGCAGTGAAGGGCCTTTTTTGTCGCGCCGTTGGAGATCGACGATAACTTAAAAAAAAAAATTTTTTTTTTTAAATTTTACTATGTATTCTTAAAACATGTATAAATATATTCCTAAAATTTTGAAATGATAAAGTAGTTTTTTTTTATATTAATTCTCAAAAATCACCTTTTTTTAGGCGGTTACACTAGTTGTGCCCCTAAATGAATTTTGCCTAAAAACTATAGCCAGAAAGTGATTTTGGAGTCATCAATTTCATTTTTTTCCTCTTTGTATACTCGTCTGGTGATTTGATGAAACTTCGCATGACTATTAAAACACTTATACTACAACCTACAACATTTAATGAGCTTTGTTTTAACTATCAATTCTACAACCAAGCGAGATTTCTTCAAATTTCGTGATTCCAAGTTGATTATTAAATATACGGAAATAAATAAAATTATGCTGATTCGAACCTCATTTTCGAGCTATGGTTTCTTTGCAATAGTTTCTTAAATATACTTATATAATACATATATAATTTTAAATTAGATTTTTTTTTATTGTTTCCACAGCAATCAGAACTCTTACTTCTTAATGTTCTATAAGCTGTTTTTGTGTATGGCTTACGACCTAAGGTATTGTTATGAGAGGCAACCCATCGGTTCACCATTCTCCTATGTGTGAGGTTTTATATATTAGCTCTTACGTCTAAAAGTGTACCATATGATTGAATGATGCAACTATGTCCACGAAGGACGATTTCCACTTGGAATTATATTGTGATCTATAACCCCAAGTGGAAATTTGACATCAAAGTTGCCTAATGTCAGGCTTGGCGGTAGCGGGAATCGAACCAGCGAACCTGGGACTAGTTGGTGCCAGCCCACGCTCTTATCGATATCGCCACCGCTGGCCCTTAAATTAGACGGTGACAAATTAATAGTTTACTGATCGGGCAAGTTCCATAATTTTTAAATTTACAGTAAAAACTCGATTAACCGGACTAATTGTTGTCGATAGGCATTCGAATAATCAAAATTAAGGATAATCGAATGTATGAAAACTAATGTTACCGCTTGTTAAAAACAACAAATTTCACAAAGTTTACTTATGTATGTAAACATGAATATGTACATACATATTTTCATATTGTTAGATTACATTACATATATAACTAAACTAGAACATTTATCATAGAATAAAATTTTTAGATACTTATGTACAAGTAATCTGTTTACTATATGTATTTGGTTTTTTGCATTTGGTAATCCTGAAATAAGTAGGCAATAAGTTTAATTTGGTTTGCATAAATTTGACTTGAAGGTATGTACATACATAAAAATTGGTCGCGGTTGGTAGTATGGATAATCGCGAATCCGTACAACTGAGGTCTGGATAGACAAGTATCTACTATACTTTAAATTTATTTTATTTATTTTTAGTATTTTACAATGTTTGATGGTTAGGATTATATCACATTTTATCAATACAACTTAATGAAGTTACAAATTGACCATTATTTACTAGAAAAAATAATCTTAAGAATTACTAGAAATAGCAAAAATGTTGCTTAGTTATACGTATTTAAAAGCGATGCGAACAATAGAGCAAAGAAAAATAGTAATTTAGAAACATAATATTATAATGTTACAATTTTCTACATAGAAATTATGTTTGTTTCAGTTTGCAACCAGTTTTCGCTGGGAGTGTTTGCGATGTTGGGCGCCGTCTCACCCGATTCTTTTGACACTCTTCATTCTTATTCGAACACCTTTCAGATGCCATTTGTTACACCGTGGTTTCCAGAAAAGGTAAGAAAAAACATACGAATTATTTTTATATATCTTTAATTACAGTAAAGAAATATAAACTTTTGAGACAAAATATAACCAATAATTGAGATCAAAGATATCGGTCCAATGATGCCATTAAACTAGTAGTACATGGCATCGTGCCTTACAATCAGGGCATACTGCTGGAACTTCACGTATCTTAAATTAACATTTTTAAAAGTTTCAGTTTTGGAAAACTTTGAAAGGAAATAGATATCTGATAATTTTGATTTTTTTTTTAAAAATGAATTTTTTGAAAAAATTGATTTGATCTAATATTTTAATTTTTTTTAGAATACAGATTTTTTGCAAAGCAATCTCAACGCGTAGCTATTTCAGAGTTCATTTCGCCAACACCAGTAAAATATTTTTTGTCATCATTTAATATGCTGCGTTCTCTCAAAAACTATAATACCATTTTGGAACTTTTTTATCTTGTATCTTCTAAACAGCTGGATCTGCCTTGGCCAAAAACTAATCAGTCCGCCCCATCAATATGAATCAAATATTTTTTTAATCATTCAAATCAGTTGTTACGTGCTCTTCACATACATATACACACACACAAATTAACTGTTTGTATATATAAACACAAATTAACTGCTTGCTTGCATTACTTACATTGTGCATACACAACATATCTTAAACTGACAAAAACTCTACGCTTTTAATTTTTATTTATAATTTATATACATTAAACAACAAATCAAACATTATCTGAATTAAATAATAAAATAGATAACTTTTTAATTGTAGGTCAATTTAATCGCGTGCGGTTGTTATAGGTACATATAAATTATCGGTAGGATTAGTGTTAATGATACATGAAGTAAATAAATCGAAATTTGAAGAATCTGTAATGAATATATTTTATAGAATGTGTAATACAATATAATAATTACTTTAAATCTAAATATACGAAAATTGTATCGTATTTCAAAATGTGATTTCTCCACAATAATCTTAAAATGAGCTTTGATTTCTTCAGTTAGCCAGGTGTAGCCTATATATCTAAAGGTAGAATGAACGATAAATCCTTTCCTTTGCTGATAATGAAATCTGTTTGTTCCGAGAATCGCGTCTCTAAACTTTTTTCTTGCAAATCATCTCGGCGAACCGGGCGAAGTGCGAGCATTACATACAGACCAGCTCGACAATTAACGCTCCTTTAAACGGCTAATGGTGTCGGCGTCGGCGTCGGCCCGAAAAGTCAAGAAATCGAGATTGATGAGTTCACAGATCATTAGCTCGACACCCGAACGGTTTATTTTTAATACCGAAGCCTCAAACCATCCTTAACCTAACCTGGGAAATGTGGAAGACGGTGGAACCGCAAACTGCGTCGTCTGCTTGTCGTTAATATAAGCCGATTCGAAGCGAGGCATGAAATAACTGCACGATATGAAATGAAAATATAGCTCTTCCTATGATATTATTTCGCTAATCGGATTTTATATATTTGAACCACGCATGTCTGTATACGGACGTAATGTGAATTCTTAAAAACAAACAGCCCTTTAATATAAAATTCAATTATACTCGAGAATTGTAAAATAGTATTACTTAGGATTTAATATAACTGCTTTTGAAACATTATGCTCAGAGTTTGTGCTGTAACAGATTTTGAAATTGCATATAGATTTCAATATCTGAGCAGTAGCATTATAGTTTAATTTTTTTGAAAATCTGTAATTGTATTCATTATACAATATGTTAATTCAGTTTTCTATTTATTAAAGGTATTTATTGACAGTATTTATAGAAATACTCCGAATTGTACATTCGCTTTCATTGTACATGCACTCCCGTAAAAATTTAAATTATTATGGGATTAGTGATATTAAATGATACAATTCAATATTCAGGAGGTCTTTAATTGAAGCAATTATCGGTATTATATTGAAAAATAAGAGTTTCAAAAGAAGATTATATATCGACTAGAGACAGGGTTTCTTCAACAAAGTATATTAGTTTGATCCCTAGTATCCGAAAATCATATGTGAGTATATATATATATATATATATATATATATATATATATATATATACATGAATATATAAAAATAATAACAACTAATATTTTCAAAGCGCAATATTAAAAGAAAACACTGCTATAAATATTATCTTTCAGTAGGGTAAGTAAAAGTAATTGCAAAAATCAAAAAAATGTTTTGCATATCCTTACGTTTTAGATGTTTCTGACCTAGATTTTTTTGTATGTATGTGTATGTGTGTGTGTGTGCGTATGTTTGGATACAACCAATTTGAAAAACATTGGTTTCGTTTTGACGGGAAAATATGCTGATTAGTTTTTGGCAAAGGCAGGTCCAGCCGTATCAGAGATATGGGGCAAAGACCGCAAAAATAACTAATTTTTTATCTACAGCTAAATTTCTCACTATACAATAAAAAAATGTGTTTTACATGTACACTACCTCAACAAACCCAAAGAATCATTTGAAGCAATCTAGGAGTAAAAAACGCACTTAGTCGCCAACCTTGTACTATTTAATGATAATATAAATAGACAATAAAAATTAGTTTGTTTTGAATTAATTCCATCTTTAGTCATATTTACGATTTTTCCGCTCTTAAAGCCTTGTATAAGCCTGTGTTCGCAATTAATTAATTGAATATCACTTTTCTTGTGCATATTTCAAGTCGAGTCTTGTCACTGACCTTAAAATAAAGCACTTGTGCGAAACTGTCAGAAATTTGATCCACCTTATTTTTTTGTAATTTTCGTAAATTAGAATTTAAAAGTTCAAAATAATCAGTGAAGGGCTATTTGAACCTAAAAAATTTTTGCATTCCGCAACATTCTCTTTTATAATGTTTAGTTCTATATAAGCAGTTTATCGCATATATCATATTCAGATTATAATGAGTAGTTGTAATCTTATTATAAAATAATGAGAAATATTCAAAATTGAGCTACTCTTTTTAAAATGTCAGATCAACCCAGCAGAAAAACATAACTCGAGTCCGGCACCAGGAACGCAAGGTTGAAAACTAGGACACCTCATTATTAGTTAAATCTAAGAAGCATTTTTTTATTGAATACTACATTACATTAAAATCGCCAAAGTTTTCAAATCTCACCCCTGAAATTACAAATTGCCCCCCGGTGGGGTGTGCGCCCCACGTTGGGAAACTCTGTATTAGAGTGATTAGAGGAGCATATTGCTTGTGTCACCGGTGTTTTTGTTCTTGCAGAAAAATATTCATAAAGATCATCGCCCAAATATAAGAACTATTGTTGTATTAGATTAATAAATATACGACCATGAAATTTACAGTAATTTTAATAATTATTATAAAATATTTAAAACAATTTTTATTACTCATTGATAAATTCTTATTGATTGATTATTTTTATTTAGCGAATAATTTACTTGCCGTACTGGAAGTTTAAGCAATTTGTTATAACGCACGATGAAAATTAAAATATTAAGCTACAAATTGGTGAAACTATCTAGGTAAATGTTTGTATGCATTAATATGTGAAGCAATCGAGTACAAGTAGATAGTGAATGAATAAAAATAGAAGTAATAATGTAAGATAGAATATCACAATCATAAAACGTGCTTTGGAAGTCGTGACGAAACCTAAAATCTGAAACATCTTCAGTAGCGAACACGAGAAACATTTGTCTTAATATAACCGCAAGTTGTCGCGAGCTCTCCACCGTCGTCCTATTCGGCAACCATGGCGTATTTGAATGTATACTTGTATAATTTCCCATGCTCTTTTCGTTATTTTATTGGCTGTTCACCATACCACTTACGGCATTATAAATATCTTTTATGGCACAGGAATAACAAAAACACACAATATCACCATACCGTACAGAGTTTTGCCTTTTCCGCGGAGCGCAATAAATAATATTTTTGTGAAGTATACCTTTATGACAACAGTTCTGTATTTATATATTAAATGGTTTCTTGTACCTTTTGAATATTTTATGCGTCTAGATGACTGGCTTAGCATAACGTTACATGTCTCCTTCTGTCAGGATGCTGAACTATATATCATCGCGATTCAACTGCTACCGTGATATACTCGGCGAAGCGTTTTTTGCTTAAAACCGAGATGAGAATATATCGCAGCACATGCGCGGACTTTATACATTTTATAGTTAAATGTGAAAACTGTCTCAAAATTATATACATACAATATTTCATGAGATTTTAGTTAGACTTGAATAATTAGGAATGCAATCATTAAACTTGTTTCTGATTTTGAATAAATCAATCAGCTTCAACTAATAATATTTAAAATAAATCGATAATAAATTATTAGTAAGATCTGTTCAAAATTAGGTGTCCCAGTTGCATAAGTCTAACTATTGTCAAATTTTGTATACACATATACTATAATTACATTAATTTTTATATCTATTGAAATTAATATTATTATAGTAACGGCTCTTTTGGATTTTAGTTGAATACTTTAAAGAGCTTTAGAACTATTCAATGTCATTTTTGACCCTTCAACTTATTAGAAAATTTCGGAGAATTTTCTTTCTCCAGAATCTTATTACTCACGTTATTCAAAATATGAATTTAAATATTTACTAATATATATGCAAATCAGAAGTACAGGTACAGATATTTAGTGCAATAAATCAAATTTTCAAATCTCAATATTGAATCTAGTTACGATCTCTCTTCAGATCATTCTCCAATACTTGTGACGTTTAGCACATTTCCTACTCCAGTTATCAACAATCATATTCTACACAACAATCTTTCCAACTGGATTCAATTCAAATCCATACTTGATTCAAAATTATTTCCAAAATCTAGGCCTACAAGCGTTATTGATATAGAAAATAATATAGATTATTTTTCTGAGATTGTACGTGAAACAACCAAGCAGATCACCCCGAACATTAATCCAAGAAATGATAATCTAATAATTCCGCAAGAGATTAAGAAGCTAATTGCACAGAAACGAAGAGCAAGACGAGCCTGGC